TATTTATACTTTTGGAATCACGCCCTTTTAACTGCTTCAAAAATGTCTTGTCACGATGGAGGTCATGGTGTGGCTTTGATCGTGACTAGGCCTAAGCCTCGCAGGTCTCTGCTGGTCACGGTGGCGGTCACGGTGTGACGTTGACCGTGACCACTCACTCTGCACAGTATCTCTGGTTTCTAGACCATTTTTCACGTTGTAAACTTCTGAACTGGCCTTTGTAGTTTTCATGAAAGTTGTAGTTCTTCGAGTTTCCGTTCTAATGCTACTTGAATCACGTTATTTGGACAGTCCTAGCTCGAGATATGCTCAAATTACCGAGACTTCGCCCGGCAGAAAAAAGTACAAAGCAGAATGGTGTCATGCTGGCAATCACGGCGTGACCACTAGCGTGACCCATGTTTTTCACTTCAAAATGCATATTTATTCATCTCCTTGTTCCTTTGGGTCCTCGGGTCATGTCATGATACTTCCACTCATTTTATTTCATTTTCTTGACCTTTATTGACTCCCGGAACTTACCTTTCTGTCAAGATGACTTCAAAGCACAACCAATTGAGCTCCAATTTACATGAAGTTACAATCAATGCCTCCAAATAACCTAAATGACACAAAGGAATCAAATATGCACATACTTATCTTCCAATTAACATGAAATCATATGAGTTTGATATCAATTATACACATAAAAGTACTAAGAATTAGCACTTATCATTTTTGTTTACGGTTATGGAGGAATAAGAAAAACTTTTGTATGGCGGACCTTGGTTGCAACTTTACGTTCTGAGCGTAACATTGTTCTCAATGTTTCTTCAAGTGGTATTGCTTCTCTTCTTATGCCAGGTGGTAGGACCGCACATTCTCGACTTGCAATACCCATAGACGTAAATGAAGATTCATCCTGTAACACTTCCCGAGGTAGTGATCTTGCTGAGCTACTTATAATGTCACAACTTATAATTTTGATGAAGCGCTAATGAGTCATATAAGCATTTCTTTGAGACATTGGATCGAACTATGATGGATATGTTACGATTTGTGAAGCCTTTGAGTTCAAGTATGACATTTGGGGAAAAACATTGGTTCTTGGTGGCGATTTTTGACAAATACTACATGTGATTCCCAAGGGAAGAAGACAAGACATTATTGGGACAAGTATAAACTCTTCATATCTTTGGAACAGTTGTAAAGTGTTAAGATTGACTAAAAATTTAAGATTACAAAGAGTGGGAAATGTTGATACCTTTGAAGAAATAGATGTTTTTTCAAAATGGATTGTTGCTGTAGATGATGGTGAGACAGGTGCAACTAATGATGGTTTTGCAAATATAGAAATTCTGAAAGATAATTTATTATAGCCGAAGATGATCCAATTGCAACAATAGTTAATAGTATATTCCATATGTTTTCTTATGGTACTTGTGATTTGGAATATTTAAATGGCTGTGCTATTTTAGCACCAACATTGGATGTACTTGATGAGATCAATGAGTATATGAGTAGCTTGAATTCAACTGAGGGTAGGACGTATTTCAACTCTGATTTTGTTTTTCAATCGGATTTTGGTTCATACATTTGTCCAATTGCACACCCAAAGTTTTTGAATGGGTTAAAATGTTCAGTGGTTCCAAATCATTATCTTGCTTTAAAACTAGGGTCTCCAATCATGCTTTTACGAAACATTGATCATTCACTAGGTTTGTGTAATGGCACGAGATTAGTTATTAGTAATTTAGAGAATCATATTATTGACGCAAAAATTATATCAGGAAATAATTTGGGTACTCGAGTTTTGATCCCGAGATTGACATTGACTCCATCAGATCCTCAGTTACCATTTAAGTTCCAAATGAGACAATTTCATCTAATGTTATCTTATGCAATGACAATAAATAAGAGTCAAGGTTAAAGTCAATCTTGGATTACTTTTCAAGAAACCTGTTTTTTTACATGGACAACTATATGTGGCTCTTTCTAAAGTTATCAACCCTAAGGGTCTTAAATTGTTATTTTAGGCCAAAATGGAAAGTACTTTCTTCAACGACAAATGCTATGTACAATGATGTTTTTAAGAATTTGCAAAGTTTAGTGTTAATGTTTAGGCTTTTTGTAAAATTAATATTAACTATATTTAGTTTTGTAATATATGAATTGCATCTATGTTTATGTTAACTTGTGTATATTTTTGAATAACGTTCAAACATACTTTCTCAACCTAATGAATCACAAAGAGTCAACAACGCCTCCAACAAGGCTCGATCTCATGACCTCCCACATAGGAAATGTCACTACATGCCATCTAAACACAAGGTGCTTAGCTAGCAATTTAATATTTAATTATAAAATAGTTTAATATTCATCCAGTGCATCGCACGGGTGGAATACTAGTAGGGTGCAAAAGTCCCCAATCAAATACCACCTTAATAACAAGTGGCTTATGGTCCATTGGTATTGGATTGCTCCCCTATGTGGGAGGTCTAGGTTTCAAGTCTCGTTGTAGGTGTAGTTTGTATGGGTATCCCCCTTCCTTTAAAATAAAAAAATACCACCTTAATAAGTTTGTTGACACCATTCTCTCGAATTAATTTCACTTTTGATCCCATGTCTTTTAATGTCTTATCACTTTTGGTGCACAACTTTAATTTTTTTTCAATTTTGGTGTCTAACTTTGTTGTTGTTATTATTATTATTATTATTATTATTATTATTATTATTATTATTATTATTATTATTATTATTATTATTATTGTTATTGTTATTGTTATTGTTATTGTTATTGTTATTCTTATTGTTATTATTATTATTATTATTATTATTATTATTATTATTATTATTATTATTATTATTATCAATTTTCCTCCTTCCGGCCAAATTGACAGCGAAATGTTACCGGATTTTATATTTTAGGGGCAAAATCATCCTTGCAAGAAAATATCTTCAATATCTAAACAAAAGAAAAATCATATTAAGAGAAAAAGAAAGGTTTATCAATCGTCTACGCTATAAATCCGATAGATCTTTGTCTAGTTTCTGCCCGCCTTCCCCATTATTTTCATCGATCAAACACCCATAGATATGATTTTACAATGATTTTGTTTAGATATTGAAAATGTTTCATTGGAATGACTATTTACTCCTAAAAATATAAAATTCGACAACATTTCACCGTCAATTTTTGCCGAAAAGATAAAAACTAATAAGAATAATAAAGTTAGCACCAAAATTGAAAACTTTTAAAATTGTACACCAAAAGTGATAGAATCTCAAAAATCGTGGATCAAAAGTGAAATTAATTCTCTTTCTCTCTCTAGACTTGTTCTTAACCAGGACCGTCAATTCTTCAAAAGCAATGGTTGATTATGGCTAACAATTGTTAGACTGATGAGTGACATTTCCAACCAATTCGTTGTTGAGAAAAAAAAAAAAAAAAAAAAAAAAAAAAGGAAAAGTTTAAGTATTTAACCATCGTTGTTGTTTTTTTTTTTTGTTTTTATCATCCTTTATTCTTCTCTTCCCCTCCTATTTTTCCTTCTTTCATTTTCTGTCTTCGTTTTTCTTTTTTTTTTTTTTTTTTTTTTTCTTTTTTTTTTTTTTGGGTAATAAGAAAAATAATTTCGATTTGTCATTGATGAAAAAGAAAAGAAATGTAAAAATTATTAATTATCCACTTCATCTTCCACAAGGGATTTTATTCCCTCGCTATTAGATTGGATTACAGAAATTTAGCATGTCTAGGGAATCTTTTGCTCGAAAACTCCAAACTTCAATGTTTTGTTGGAAAATGTCACTTTTTCTCTTAAGTTGTATACTTGTAGTACTTTTTCTCCCAGAATTATTCATCCAAGCACATTAGCCACCTCAATTATTCTAAAAGTGACGGTTCCTCCCACCACCCCCCTCCCCCCCTCTGATATATTAAATTGACATGTCTACCCTTAAAATAAACATTTTTTTCTCCAACAAATTATTGCTTATACGTAGGGATGACCATGCTTCGGTTCGAACTGAACCGGACACTATATCAATCGAATTGAAAGTTTTCGGTTATGATTCAATCAGAACCCAATATTTGGATTTCAGTTTATTAAAGTTATGAATCGAAAAAACATGATCCTGAACCGTAAATCGGTGGTTCCGGATCCAGTTCACGATTTTGAACCGTCTTAATTTTAAACTTTTATTTTTTATTTTAAAATTGTCTAAATTCAACAATAAATGTATTTTATTTTTTTCAGTTCGGAACATGAACCGACCGTTCCAGTTCGCGATTTTAATAAACTCTAAATATCGTGTTTCACTTCTAAATTGTAATTGGAATATTTCGATTTGATTGCTATAATGTCTGTTCAGTTTGAACCAAATCGTGGTCATAATTTGTTGGAGAAAAAAAAAATAAATGAAATATTTATTTAGGGTAAATGTGTCCATTTAAACATTTCAGGAGGGAAAATAATCACTTGAATAATTCAGGGAAAAAAATGTTATAAATATATAATTCAGTGAAAAAAAGTGTTATTTTCTCTTTAAAATTTTCAATCTAATATCAAAATTTGGTGTTTTGTGGCAATTACATCCGATTATAATATCTAACCTTAAAAATCCAGTACTAGTTATTATTCAAATAAGAATTGGTGGCTATAATGATTGAAACCCTTCTAGATTTGAAGAAGGCAAAATGTTCATCGCTTTCTTTTGGATCTAGAAAAGGTAACTATTATATCATTATTTTTTCTAAATTTGAAGAAGGCAATGGTCATTACTTTCATTTAGATTTGCGGCATCACATTTTTAAGATTTGGAGAAAGCAATGGTCATTGCCGCTTCTGGATTTGAAAGTAGTGATGATTGTCACATCTTTTATATCTAAAGAAGGCGATGGTTGTTGCTTTATGATGCGGAATTGAGAGATTCAAACACAAAATTGATGGTTAATTACATATCATAAGGATTTCTATCTACAAAATGGGGGTTTTTTATTACATATTTTTAATGTTCACAATGAAAAATTGAAGATGGGCTTAAAAATGTATCAACTACATAGACAAGAAAAACATGAATGAAATACACAGCTTTAACGGAACATGTGATTGGTAAAGGCAATTGGATCAAAACAGTTTGAATCAGAGTAAGTGGTTTCTCCGATAAGGTTGAAATATGTAGGCTCCTCCTGCTGCTGAGAAGTCTGAACCCCATTTTCCACTGCAACTCTGCTATTCATTATCTGTGTTTTCACCATTGCAAGCTCCGCTTGAAGAGATACCACCTGCACAACAAACAAACCAACATTTATGGCCCTTTAGAATCCATCCATGGATCTTTTCTTTCTCATTGATGCTCATTTCGTCACATTTTAACGTCTTATTTTTTTAATTTATCTCAAAATAGTGTCATCTTTTTCAAAATTGAACATAACTATATCATTTTATTACAATTAGTCATGTCCACGATTCCGTTTCAGTTCTGAACCTACGGTTCCCGGTTTCGAAATCGGCCGAACTAGAATCCGAACCTTCCACTTCCGGTTTCGGAACCGGGGGTTCCGGTTCGAAATGAATTTTTTTTTAAATAAAAAAACTTCTATTTTGTATTTTTAAAATCGTCCAAATTGAACAATTAATTTTTCCAAAATGAAATTTTTTTAAAAAATAATTGTATGAAATATTTAAACTTCAAAGTTGTACTAAAAAATAAAAATAATTGTTATGCTTAAACTTTAAATTGTTATTTAACATTTAATCTTTAATTAAATAATAGTTAAACTTTAACTAAATAATTTTTATTTAAAAATTAATTAAATAATAGTATAAAAAAATTATCGTTTTTCCATTTGGAACGGGAACCAGAACGGACTTTACGGTTTCGGTTCCAGTCTAGTTCCAACCGTATATAGTTTGGTTCGAACTGTCTGATTCGAACCGAACCGTGATCATGCTTATTCTACATTTCTAAATTTACCGTTTTGACTTTTTAAAATTTCTAGACAATTAATAAGGTAAGTACAATTGTACTTTGTACAAATGACACTTACTTTTGAAGGGCAAAATGAGAAAGTTTGTACTCCATAACATTTATTTTGTTGCATTAAAAATCGTGCAAAAAGCAAATACTTATTTTAGTCATTCGACTATAGTAATTTTGTTGATTTAGTCCTAAATGACTTTTTGTGCTTAATTGAGTCTGGACTTCGATGATTTTATCTAATTGAATCCTTTGTTAGGATATATAACTTGGTAATTTTCTCTCGATTAATACCCAATTTAGTTCTTGACTATAATGCATTTACCCAATTTAGTCATCAACTAGAGTGATTTTAACCAATTTAATTATCTACTATACTGGTGTTTCTTGATTTAATCCTTGATTTTAACCACCAACAACAGATGTAGAGGGCTCAATTAGGTAAAACTATCGAACTCCAAAACTCAATTAAGCACAAAAAGTCATTTAAGACTAAATCGAGAAAATTACTATAGTCAAAGGACTAAATTGGGAATTACCACGCTCATATGGTAAAACGAGAAATAAATTGAACCTGTTGCTTCAGTGCGAGAATTGTTGACACGCAACCGTAAACAGGGTTGGAGAGCCTTGCCTGAGCCTCGTAGCATAAGGTAATGGCGGCGCAATGGCGGCGATTAGCAGGGGTGCATAGGAGAATCTTGGTGGCGTTGCTTGTGCCGAACACCTTGTGGACAGCGGCGAAGCGAGTAACCCCCTGATCGGAGTCGAAGTAGGGAGCGAAGATGCAGCTAGGGATACATTTCTTCCTTAGGAATTTGCATGCACCACAAGGGGCTTGAATGGCAACAGCTCCAGCAGTCTCCGAATAGGTATCCATGTTAAGTACACTAGAATTGATTGATGGGAATTGTATAGTATAATGAGTATGGAAATTAATAGAGAAATATTGCATAAGTTAAAGTGTTTATATAAACAAAGAAATATAAACTTCAAGTATAAATAAGATAAAAAATGTATTTAAAAAAAAAAAAAAGGGAGAAGGGCATGTAACTTCCGTGAAGGGATTGGCAAAGTGAGAGACGTATAAGGTTGTTGAAGAAGAAGAGAAAATGTATAGTAATATGTACATATTGCATTATATCAACCCAAACTTTACCAAATGTATATCTTTAACGTACTAAAACGTAATTATGATGATATTTAGATAGGAATATTGAATAGTTTTTTCTTTATTTTGTAAAGTTCACATGAATGATCCTCTAATTACGTCATGATGTGTAAGTGCATCTGAAGCTATCCAATTGGATACACATTAGATATGTTAAAATTTTCTTTTCCTACCGTAAGTTTTTCAACTTTTATGAAGAAAAAAAAAAAGAAAAATAATTGCAATGGTATTGAAACATTTTTGAAAGGAATGCTTTAGGTCATAATATATTGGGTTTTCTTTTAGCACAACTTTCCGCCTTAAAACATGGTTTTTTGGAGGCATTATTAAGAAAGGCAAATCTCCTATAACACCATCTAACAGATCCATATCCGTGACGTGAGGAGGGTCTTTTATAAGTATATTATATTTTTTTTCGTATAAGTAGCTGTTCTTCAACTCCTAATATTACATTTTAATTTAAAATTATTATATTTTTCATCAAAAGTGTCACATTTTTCTCATAAGTAACAATCAATTAATTTATCCCTTATTAGTATTACACTTTTTTCTAATAAGTAATTCTCCAACCTCTAAATATTACATTTTAATTAAAATATTATATTTTCTCTCAAAAGTAGTACACTACTTTCCCTTATAAATATAATTAATTTATCTTTGATTAGTATTACATTTTCTATCATAAGTATAACATTTCCATATAGATCTGACCCGTCTCTGCGGAACAGTCTCACAGGAGAGTCATCCATTAAGAAAACATCTCATCCAGCTAGGGTGCTACTCCTAACAATTAATTATAGGAATAATATATATTCTCATTAAGAATATCTTACACTTAGGTGATGACTCTTATTTTATACTACTAGCATTTTGTATGCGCGATGCGCCAAAATTCATGCCAATATTAAACATTCATAAATATAAATAATTAAAAATTATAAATCAAATTATATATACACAAATAATATATGTATTTATACACACACATATATGATTTTTCATTCATAGAAATTTAATTAACATATAATCAACCTTTAAATTAATTATATAATGATTTTAATAAAATGATAATTAAAGAATAGGAAAAAGATATATATATATATATATATATATATATATATATATATATATATATATATATATATATATATATATATATATATATATATATATATATATAGGTGTATGGTAATAATGATGAGTTATCAATGTTAGAATTAAAAAGTAACGGTGTTATAACGGTGTAAGGATAGTTTTGTCTAACAAGAATGTAGTGGGGACAATTTTGTCTAATAACATTAAAGTGTACAACATTTAAAATAAAATGTATACATTTATTACCATACAAAAAGAGGGACATAAATCAAGGATATAACCTTGATTTAGACTTATTATGTTTTTAGATATTTCACCCCATTCTTAACATATTTTTATACACACTTAAAGGTTTTTATTTGAATTTTTGAACTAAAAGATGCGCTTTATGCTCAATTGTGCCCAAATGCACTCTTGAGAGAGGAAAATGCAAAAGGAAGCAAAAGTTTATCAGCAAAAATGCATGAAAAAAAAAAAAAAAAAAAAAAAAAGCACATGGCAACAAACCCAGAAAAGTTGCGCAAAGGAGCAAAGCCAAAAATCGTGGATGGAGGCAAACCCATGCACAGATGGTTAAACGCTTGTGCGCCGCCCATGCATTATGAACCAGCAAAGGCCTCCTTTCGCACGAGCACTCTATGCATGTGCCCTGCTAGTGTACTCGCACGGGCAATGGCACGAGTGGTCCGAACTGATGATTCGAAGAGTAAAAGATATCAATACCGAATGGTGGAAGGGTCTACCTTTCGAAGTGTTGCAAGACAGAATGGTAAAGTCAAAACCATTCGTAACTGAAAGGTCGCAAATTAAAGGTCAAGAATAGGAATGACCTACCTTTCGAGGAGTAAAATGACGAGTGGTAAAGTCAATCATTCGTATCCGAGAGGATCTAAAGTTTGAGACGTTAACCTAGTAAACCACTCAAAAGGGCTGCTCTAGACATTCTCTGAGCTGTACAATCCGAAACCTTAAAAAGATGAGTGAATGTGTCCAAGGCAAAGAGAGTCCTAGAAACACATCCCAATGCAGATATTTCCTTTAAATGCCCTAACATTTTGTGCATAACAAAAAGCAATGTTCAGTGCAAATTAAGTCTTTAACGACTGAAATATCTGACATGCTCACCCACCCTCCGAATTACTCGCTGGTCTCTACACGCTGGTCCTTAGCCGTTTGAAAATAGTTTTTCCCTCCAACAGAACTATTTTTCAACGTGCCTATAAATACCCTCTTCCTTTACTGAAGAAGGTGTGTGCGGGCCATTTTCATTTTATCAAGTGTTAAAAAGCTTTCAAGCGTTCGTTACTAGCGACCAGTATTCAAGTGAAAGAGAGACAAAGCGAAAAAGATCATATCCAGATTATAGAGACTTGAGCTGCTCAACTGCAAAGATCCAGATTTTCAAGTCAAGTTCTGTAGTTGGAGAAGAAGAAATATCTTTTCTTCAACCTTGTAATCTCTACTCGGTAGTAGCAGAAATGGGTGGAGTAAACTCGGATCAAGAGTTGGAAAACCTGGTTGTGGAGTTCACGAATAGCTTGGTGTTCAAACCTTGAACGTCTGGGGATTTTGGACTGGAGATAGTGCAAACCTCCTTAGGGTTTAAGGAGAAGAATGGAGTAGGCTCATTACAGTCGAACCACTATACAAATCTCTTTCACTCTCCTTATTTATTTTTTTTATTTAGGAAATATGATAGACATATATTAATCAAAATCAAGAGTCAGTACATGCGAAATAAAAGGAAAAGGGACCGAGATATAGTCTATATAATCTGACTTAGATAAGGCATCCCTAGCAAGAACGTGGGCGACCCTATTCGCAGACCGTTTAACAAAAATGAAGCTAAGGTTAACAATCTCTCTAGCTAGTACTATGATATCATTGATGAAAATATCAAAAGATGACACAAGATGATTGTGCTGGATATCGTTGATAACTTGGATGCATTCTGATTCAATCTGGACGTTATCAATTCGCAAGAGCTTGATCCATTTTAAAGCCTCTCGAACACTAAGAGATTCTGCCTCCCCAGGTTCAAAAAATCCCATCCAAGGTATTACTTGCCTAGCAGCCACAAAATCTCCTTTAGAATCTCTAATAACAAAGCCCAATCCCATTCTCTTACTGTTACAATCCAAAACAGCATCAACATTTAATTTCAACCAACCCGAAGCCAGTTTCAACCAGGAATCAGCTTGCATAGTTGGACTCTTAGGTGGTTCTTGACCATAATTCGTTGAATACCACTCCTAAAGGTAGATACACGCCTGGTCAGAAACCTTAACAGGAGTGGTGGATCTGTTGTTCCATACTTTATCATTTCACGCTTCCCAGATTCTTCAGCAAACCATAATGAGATTGCAGAGAGCTCCATCCTCAAGGTCTTAAAACAGTACTCAGTCCATTCCTGGAATGAAGTGAAATTGGTATAGTTAATATCTCCAAGATTTTCCCAACAGGATCTTGCAAAGTTACAACGCACAAATAAGTAGAAATTGGACTCATCCTCGAGATTGCATAGTTGACAAATAGTAGGAATCTGAACTTGTTTTGTTCTCAACATGCAGCAGGTGGGTAGAGCATTTGAATTTAATTTCCAAAAAAACAATTTCACCTTGGGTGGCAGTCTAAGGTTCCATATCTTGGTCTAAGATGGAACAACAACATCCTGGTAGTTCTGCTAGAGCATGTTATAACAACTACGTACTGTGAACAGTCCTTTTGCATCTCCCCTCCATATGATTCTATCTTCCACTTTCCTCTCAGCCACTAGAATTTTTAGGATTTAATTTGTTGAACATCTTCTTCAATAAACAAGTCGTTGAGGGTCTCAATTTCCCAATCAGTCTTCTGAACATTCATAAGTGAATCCATAGTGATGTCTCTAAGCTGATCAATAACTGGAGTTTGAATAAAAGGAACGGAGTTATTAGGAATCCAAGGATCACCACAAACTTTAATTAAAGACCCATCACCCACCCTCCATCTACTACCATCCTTAATAACCCTTTGAGTTTCAAAAATGCTACGCCAAATAAACGAGGGGTTTCCTCCTAAGGAAGCATCAAGGAAAGAACCTCTAGGATAATATCTAGCTTTATAGAGCCTAGAAGCCAAGGAGTTAGGGAGCTGAATCAGTCTCCAAGCTTGTTTTGCTAACATGGAGATATTGAAATCCCGGAAATTCCTAAACCCCATACCTCCCCATTTCTTGGGTACACACAGGGCCTCCTAGTTCTTCCACCTTATACCCTTTCTCCCTTCACCCTCACAACCTCACCAATATCCATTCATAACCCTTTCAATCTCTCTACAAATCTCAAGGGGTAACAGAAATACACTCATGGCATAGGTCGACAAAGCTTGGAGGACATTTTTTTATAAGAATTTCTCTACCAGCTATTAATTCTACCAACCACCCTCTCCTTGATATAGCCCAAGACCTCTCATTTGTTTCTTCCAATAATGGAGGGCAACCCAAGGTAAGAACCATTAAGGGTGCCTTTAGGAATTCTAAGGAGATCACACAAAAGATTCCTCTTATCAGCCTCTACATTTCTACTGAAATTAGTTGTAGATTTAGAGTGATTAACAAGTTGTCCCGAGGCTGC